ACCTGCGGAAGTGAAGAAACAGATTGATAGAGCCAGAAGAGTTCCCAGAAGTCACCTACTACAGGACAGGCCTAACAAAGAAAATAACAGAACGCCACTAGCCGTCACCTTCAGCTCCCAACTAAAATCTCCAACGCATTATTAGGGATCTACAACCTATCCTGAAGGATGACCCAACACTCTCACAAATCTTGGGAGACAGGCCAGTCCTTGCCTACAGACAGCCCCCTAACCTGAAGCAAATACTCACCAGCAACCACATGCCACACAACAGAACCACTAACCCAGGAACCTATCCTTGCAACAAAGCCCGTTGCCAACTGTGCCCACACATCTATTCAGCGGACACCATCACAGGGCCTAATAACATCAGGCACACTATCAGAGGCTCGTTCACCTGCACATCTACCAATGTGATATATGCCATTATGTGCCAACAATGCCCCTCTGCCATGTACATTGGTCAAACTGGACAGTCTCTACGTAAAAGAATAAATGGACACAAATCAGATGTCAAGAATTATAACATTCATAAACCAGTCGGAGAACACTTCAATCTCTCTGGTCACGCAATCACAGACATGAAGGTCGCTATCTTACAACAAAAAAACTTCAAATCCAGACTCCAGCGAGAAACTGTTGAATTGGAATTCATTTGCAAATTGGATACAATTAACTTAGGCTTGAATAGAGACTGGGAGTGGCTAAGTCATTATGCAAGGTAACCTATTTCCCCTTGTTTTTTTCCTACCACCCCCCCCTCCCCAACATTCCTGTTAAACCCTGGATTTGTGCTGGAAATGGCCCACCTTGATTATCATACACATTGTAAGGAGAGTGGTCACTTTAGATAAGCTACTACCAGCAGAAGAGTGGGGTGGGAGGAGGTATTTTTTCATGCTTTGTGTGTATATAAAAAGATCTTCTACACTTTCCACAGTATGCATCCGATGAAGTGAGCTGTAGCTCACGAAAGCTTATGCTCAAATAAATTGGTTAGTCTCTAAGGTGCCACAAGTCCTCCTTTTCTTTTTGCGAATACAGACTAACACGGCTGTTCCTCTGAAACCTGTTTGGAATGCAGATGGAATGCAGTAATGGTACCACCGTTACTGGGGACAGTGCAGGGAAACTAGCTTTGTGCTTTCTCCCGTCATGCCTGGGAGGTCGTACTCCTCAAACATCTGCAGAGCTCTCATTATCCTCCTTTGCCATGAGGCCCACAAAAGCCTTGACAACACAGTTAGGCCACTGGTGTGCTGAGCCCGTTGCCTGCTAATATCTCATTGTTTCCTTGTACTCAGTTTGTCTATATGCGTCTGTCCCTTGTTTTATACGTCAATCGTAAGCTCCTTTGGGGGGGTCTTTTTTTTTGTTCTGTGTTTGTACAGCATCTATCACAATGGGATTCTGGCCCATGATAAGGGTGCTACGGTAATACAAATAGTTATAATAAAAAATATACCCTTACACATGCTGAGCAAAGTTTTTGGACAACAGAAGGATCAAGCAACTGCAGTCTACTCTATAGCCATTTCCAGATGTTCTAATTCAGATTCTTTATTATGGAGACACAATGCACTTTTCTAGGACCTTCAATCTCAAAGCACTTTACAACGACTAGTTAAACTTTACAACACCCCCTATTTTGCAAAAAGGAAAGCTGAAGGACAGAAGAGTTAAGGATTTTGTTTCAGATCAGAGAGCAAGGAAGTGGCAGAATCAGGAATAAACCCCAGATCTGTTGGCCCCTAATTCATATAAGTTAACCAATAGACCTTACTCTGTAGGAGGATGAAGAGAGGTGAACAGAATGCAGCCTGGATTTCATTTATATTTATGGACTAATTCAGTTAGAAAATCATCTGACAAAACTCTCGCCACTCCCCACCACCATCTGCTTATAATTGCCATCTGTTTAAAAGTTTGGGGGAATTTACAAGTGACTGACGTTTGCACCACAAAAATAACTGATTGAGGTAGTTCTTTTTACACTCACATGCTTTCCCCAGTGCATGCCATAATGTAAGCCCATGTGACTGAGCTGTCCTCAGTGGCTTCATCCTCCTTGTCTGCTAGGGGGATTAGCACACAGTACTTTTACCCAAAGATCTGTTATGCATTGATTCGTATTACCATAGTGCCTAGCAGCTCTGTTCCTGGACGACAATCCTCTTGTGTTAGGCTCTGTACAAACAGAACAAAAAGGCAGGTCACCTCTTGGCTCAATTTCTTTTATAAATCCCTTTCTTTATGAAGAGGCTGCACTAGCCAAAGACAGTAGCAGCCCCATACCGGATCACAGCTCTGCTAGCCTATCTTCTGTACTTACTGGCTCCAGATGCTTTAGAAGAAGCTGTAAGTCCCTGTAATGGGCAGGCTCCATCCCTGCCCTCTGATGCCCAGAAGCCTCTGACTCTGCAGTGAGTGGCACCTCCATGTTCTTTATTTATATTCCTGGCACCAACCCCTATGCAATCTTGTGCAGCAAAGTATTTACAGGGGTTGCTTGCCCCACAGGGCCAGAGAGGAACAGAGAACTCCCTCCCTTGGGATCTCAGAACATACTGAACTCAGCTAACCCAATCCTCTCTCCCCTCAGCTGATGGCTAATTGGGGAATATTAACTGATGAACCAATCAGCCTTCTCCAGGGGAACTAACTGGTGCGTAAGTGATCAGAAAGCTGGCTGGCTTGTTAGCCTCCAGCACTCTCTGTCACAGTCCCCTTCCTTAATACACATAGACAACTATATAACAGCATGTTTCCCAGGGTGGGGGTGCAGAGTTTCTTCCTACCCCCAGACAGTTGAAATGTTGCCTTATGTCCTGAAGCATGAGGGTTGGTATCCCAGATACAAAAATATTAAAGGATAAAAGTGTGTCTAATCCATTTTGGAATCCTATTAAATTCTTTTCCTCAATACCTTCTTTGGGCGAATTACTTTTTTTGTATTTGTCTGTTAAAAGGCAGGATAAAATAGGAGCAATCACAGGCTTCAGCTGGGGGGCAGCAGAGGTAGTGGAAGATGAGGAAAAATATTGGTTAAATTTTTTAAAATATTTTTTAATCTCCCATTGGAATGTCCCATCTGATCCACTCTTCTGCTGCATGCCATGGAGTTGCAATTTACAGAATAATTTTGAACAGCTGTTCAGCACTCAAATGGCATTGGGTGGCTTTCAGTGTCAGGCCCCAGGAAAAAAGGAGGAAGACAGACACCTTTAGAAAGAAAGAAAGAAAAAAAAAAGGCATGGCTGTGGAAGCCCAAAGGCGGCGCCATTGGGTCAGTCCCTGAGCCAACTGAAGTCAAATTCTCAATGGGAAGACTGGATCCAGAGTAGAACACCCTTACCATCCCCTCTGACTTCACCAGGTATTTAAAAATATTTAGTTTCATGAAAAATTCCAAGATTTCTACTTTTTGTCCTGATATGCGGCAAAATGGAGTTTCCAACTCTCAGAATTTCCCATGGGATGAGATTTTAAAAAAAAACCCCTACAAACAAACAAACAAAAAACCAACCCAGCTCTAATAGCTACATGTTGCCCTGGTTCAACTCCACACAAATAAAAATTGCCAACCCATTAAGCATAACAATAGAAGAGTAACTAAAACTTTAAATGTAGCAATCAGAAACAGTAATTCTAAGAAAAAAGAAAAGGAGTACTTGTGGCACCTTAGAGACTAATAAATTTATTTGAGCGTAAGTTTTCATGAGCTACAGCTCACTTCATCAGATGCATTCAGTGGAAAATACAGTGGGGATAATCTGAATTATCTGAATGCATCCGATGAAGTGAATCCCCACTGTATTTTCCACTGAATGCATCCGATGAAGTGAGCTGTAGCTCATGAAAGCTTACGCTCAAATAAATTTGTTAGGCTCTAAGGTGCCACAAGTCCTCCTTTTCTTTTTGCGAATACAGACTAACACGGCTGCTACTCTGAAACCAGTAATTCCAAGGCCATTTTCAGTCTTTGGAGTATTATTTTGTTCACTGTAAGAATGGATTCACTCATAGGTCCTGAAACTAGGGGTGCTGCTTTATCCCCTGGCTTAAGTGATTTCCATCATATTCAGGGTTTATAGTTTGGTTCCACGGCTCTCAGCACCCCCACTATACAAATTGTTCCAGTATCCCTGGATTCACTTTAAACTTTATACTGCCTTCTAACTCATAAATACCTGTCAAATGCTGGAATTACTAAAATAATCAGTAACTTTCTGGAGAGACAACTGTTTCAGACCGCCACTGGAAGTTTATTGAAAGAAATGTCAATGTTTATATAGAAAGAATCGGCTTATTTTTAAGAAAAAGGACAGTGAAGACATGAGTGGATAAAAATCTGTTCCCCCCCACCAGCTTGTTTCTAAACTATTCCTCTAAATAAAATAATTCACATCTTCAGCAAAGGAAAATAGGGTTTTCATAGTCCTGAACCCAGTCTGCCTTCTGTCTCTGACTCCAGCATGAAGAGGAGATGTGAATGACTCTTAAACAGTGATATTACTATTAGGGCTATGTGCAGGCATCTCATTCATTTGGGAGTTTAGGAAGCCACAGATTCACATATGAATACTACTACTGTCACTCACTTGTCAATATTTGGCCCAGTCAAAAAGCAATATGAAGCCAGAGTCTTGTAGGCCTGCTGCTAACCTCTCATTAAACACTCCTTTTGGGGCTAGTGACCTGTGCAACCAGAAAGGTCCTATTTGGTGTGTGGAACACTAATCCCCACCAGGCCTGCTGGCTCAGCCTACCTCTTCGGGCAAGAGGCAAAGCACCACATGGAGTTTGAGCCCAGCTGCAGGAGAGTGGGAGGAGAGGAAGAGAGCAACCTCTCTCAGGCCCTACCGGGTCTTTCTGGCTCAGAAGCAGCTCAGTCTTCTCAATGGGCAAAACCAGGGTCCAACCAGGAGATTCCAAAGGCACCAACTATGGTTTCTGCTTACCTCCAGGCACCTCTAGCCAATAGAAAAAGGCAAGCTCACCTTGCTCCAATTAAGCTACTGTGCTCCAGAACTCAATATGAACCCAGTAGCTGCTGGATGAAAGTCTTGTCCAAAGTACATGAGGGTGCACCGTCCAGTAGCCGTGTCAAGCAAGGAATTGGCCACAGCTCTCAGCCCAAGGAATGGTCTCCAAATGCAATCAGCTTTATTCCAGCAAGTGTTGGAACCCCTCTAGTGCAGAAAGAGTAATCAGAATGAAACCCTGGTTCGAATCCGACTTAGCTCACAATGGACAGTGTATTTTAATGTGTCTTTTTATTTTTTAAAGACCTACATATCCAAACCTACCACATGGTATCACACAATGCAGCAACAGATGGCTGCTTTGGAAAAGCAGTGGTGTTAGACTCAGGTGCTCTGGCAGAGCTGGGATGGGGGAACAGCACGGCCTGCGATTGTTCATGCTCTTCCCGGCGTAAAGTTAGTCCAGTTTGTTGTTCTTCTCTGAGCACCACATTGGCTCCATTTTAAAACCATATGGAGGAGGCGCCACAGGTGACAATGCACCATCTGAGCGCTTTTAAAGTGTTTTCGCTATTGTCCACATACACACTGTCCTCAGTGCCTGTGAGACAAGCCACGCACTGGTCATTACAGCTCTGCCACCAGAGAGAATGCCTCCCGCGGGCTTCCAGGTATAGGAGTGCCAGTCTCAATGCGGCTTTCAAAGTTCCAGGCCAGACTGCGACCGGTGAACTTGTGCAAAGGACTAAAGGGGCACAGAAAGTCCCCTTACGCCCAGGCAGCTGCTACCTGTGTGGTGGGTGGGCATGCGAGCGAAGCCACTCTGGGCTGCTCCCATTCCCATGCTGGTGGTTGGGGGAATGGAGCCTGCCTCTACCCTCCCCCAACACGCCAGCAGGTGCAGCTGAGCCAGTGGAGAGGAGGGAGTAGGCCATTCGCTGGGGCAGCCAAATGGGACCTGAGTTGTGATTGAGCGTGTATTTGTACCTTTGTGTTTAAAAACTCTTCAACTTAATCCATATTCTATCATATCTCAAGGAAGGACTGACTGGCTTCTTCTCTCTTCATCTGGTAGTAACCAAGCCTCCCCTCTTCTTTCCCCTGCCCCTCCTCCTTTGTCTCTACCCCTTAGCTGGTATCCTAGAATATCAGGGTTGGAAGGGACCGCAGGAGGTCATCTAGTCCAACCCCCTGCTCAAAGCAGGACCCATCCCCAATTTTTGGCTCAGATCCCTAAATGGCCCTCTCAAGGATTGAACTCACAGCTTTGGGTTTAGCAGGCCAATGCTCAAACCACTGACCTATCCCTCCCCCCCAGAAGATATCTCCTTCTGCTATTATTTACTAATTCCTAATACTGTACATACCCAAGAAGTTTATTCCGGTGGTACATGTTGCAAATCACTTGTGTGGCTAGACGATTCACATAACCTCCTCAGGAATTTAGGGTTTCAAACGTGAACATTTGAATCTGAGAATAAGAAAAGAAAAGAACCGACTGGGAAATAGCTGGTTTTATTTTTATGTGAGTCAAAGTGGAGAAAGATGTATGTTTGGACAGCTGGGGATGAAGGCTAGCCTGGAACCAAACAAGGAATTATTTTCAGTTTTCCTTGCTGTGCCATTCAAGCCTCTGCCTCTTTTCATCCATATCAGGAAACTCTCTCCTTGCAAAGCCATTTTAAGTCCATGTGTTTGTTTATGTAGGACTGTGTCTTCTCTCTCCTACAGCTGAGCCTATGCCTCAGTGAGAAAACGAATGGTTTGAAAGCACAGATGCAAGCCCGATATTAATACTTCAGAACTTGTGTCCGGTAGTTTAGTGTCCCGGCTAGCCTGGGCTCCCTTTGGAATTCTTCCCCCCCCCCCCCCGATAACGGGAGCAAGAGTGCCTGCCTTCATTTTTAAATTCTTTGGGCTCTTGATAATCTCTCTTTCATGGTGTAATCTCCCCGAAGCAAAACTCCCTGATCCACCCCTACCAGCATGTGACACCCTCCCCCACAGCCCCGCAGTCACCAGGGTGTCAAATCCCTGTGCTGTGTGGGTGATGCTGAGGCTGCACATCACTTACTGCACAGAGGGCTTTCCCGCCCCCTGCCCCAGGCAAAACCTAGGGCCCCTTCTGTTGCACCAAATTGTTACTGTTTGTATGCAGAACCCGCTTATACATCAGAACCTGCTTTGTATGCAGAACCTGCTTACATTATGGTAAGGACTTGGTGCAAGAGAAAAGAGAACTATTCACGTTCTGCACACACAGTCTACTTCTGCAACCATTCTGAAGTAGAGGAGATTCAGGTACTGCAATAACACTTACCTCACTACAGCCCTGCAATCCTCCCTCAGTACTTGCTCTACAGAAGGAATACGAGGGGCAATGGATGTTTCAGCTCAGGAAGCAGTTCATTCCTGATACAGGAAAAAGACCCCTGGAAGCTTCTGAGTTTAACTCAAGGAATTTCCTGTTCATCATTCTATTGCGAGGGAGAGAGGGGGAGGGCACTGGCCATTGCAAATCAGCCACTGAAGAGCTGAACTATCCGGTGTCTAAGTACTGACAACTAATAGCTTACCGGAGACACTGCCTCCTCAGGGCAGAAAGTCCACGGGGCTACTCACAGTATTGCAAAGCACTTGCAAGCCCTGCTCTACCTGGGGCCCAGAGCTAGTCATCTCAGCCCCCAAAGTAGGTGGCACTGGTTGGGAAGAGGGCATGCCCAGGGTTCCTGATACAGCACATCCCTAAGGCTCCTCTGGGGATGGTGCCCTCCCTTTGCTTGCCCCCAGGGAGAAATCCCTGGAGTGAGGTCTGACAATTACACACCTCTCCAGCAGCAGGGCGGAGTCAATATGTGGAGTTTTTCTCCTCTCTCACTCTGAATGTACAAATATTGTCATCAGGTTGATAGATGTTTTCAAATGGGCCTTATTTGAAAAAAAAATAGCTCCCCTCAGCGTTCTTTCTGCCTTTGGATAACACCAACACATGTGCGGGTACTTATGTTCTGTGGCTTTCCAGCAGTGCCCCAAGCTCTTAAACTATTTAGGGGTCCAGTAAGTGACACAGACTGGCAGCTTTCCCCATCTACCCTCCTATCCCATTTTCTTAGGTTTTTGATCACAGTAGAGGTCTAAACAAATGGGACTTCTTGTCTCCTCGTGTCTGGATCATATGGATTTCCAGCCACACTTTGCACAGTAAATTCAAGGGAAGTTTGCAGATCAGATGAGTTTCTGATCTCCTATCCCTCTTTGCTATTCATATCATGTTCAGTCCTCCGTTCTGCTTGCTGGTCTCTATTCTGGGTCAGCTGTGTTAATTGATTTGTTCCACAGCTGGAAGTTGTAGGTATTTCGTTTTTGTAAGCTTAGCTGATGTTTATTATGCTGCCCCATCAGTACAAACTGCTACCTGTATGCTGTGGTGAGACTTTAAAAGTTTGATAGCGGAGGACAATGTTCAAAGGCCTCTAGAAGTTCCAAATGAGGACACACATCTTTTCCATTGCCTCAGTTCTAAACACTGTATTTCTTGCGCTGTTTTTGTTCATGGCATAGTTCTTAGCCTTCTAGGTGCGCAATGTCTCCACCCATTAGAAAACTGAAGAAATAGGAAGCAGCTGAAATTAAAGCACTGAGGTTTGCTCTACTCTTGGAAGTTTTCACTGTTGCAACATTACTAGGGGGATATGTGTGGGGAGGGGAAGGGAGTCAGGCTTGCCGTCTTTTGCTGGGGGACTCCACTGCAGAGGCTGAGGGCAGCTTTTGCTTCCCCTTTCTTGGGCCTGCCCAGGCATAGTTGAGCTCCTGATCCAGGATAGAGCAGACCTGAGGCCCAATTTGTGACTCAGCTACTATGTCCCTTCTGGGCCCCTGTACTACCAGAGAAATGTCTGGGTGTAAGAACACCCCAATGGTGCCCTCTTACATCCCCAGTGGGCCACATATGCGGGGGGAGGGGGAAGGGGATGAGAGAAGAAGACATGGCTCCTGCAGAGGTGGATGTTATGCCTCTCAGGGAGGCTCTATATATTGGGACTACCCTTGGGAAAAGGGGGAGGCACTTACAGCTGTGTTGGGACCACCTCCACTAATGTAAAGTGGTCACTACATCACCCTGAGTAGCACCTTCCTGTTTTCTTTGGCATCTGCTGCTGTATTGACCAGAGGTGGTAACAGAGGTGAAGCCAGGTAGTTCTCCAAACCTGAGGGCACTGAAAAAAAAATAAAAAAAAAAATAAAAATCAAGAGGGCTAATTTGCATGAGGCAATGTAAAGCATGATCCTCCAGCCCAGAGTAGTTCCACCATCTTCCCCTTGCATGAGTGTACTCCAGCTGCAATCAACAAAGGAGGGAATGTTATTTATTTTGAAGGTGCGACAGAAAGGAATCGTAGGACGATATGAGATGGATGGAGGGGGAAGGATTGTGGTCCATGAAGCCAGGAGGGATGGACGTGGGGAAGAATGGAACCGGGATTATGAGCTAGCACTGAATGGCTCATATTTTTTCAGGTGGTGGATAAAGCGAGGCGGATAAGAGGGAGGCCAACAGAGATCCAACGTAAATGTTAGAGCAGAAAATCATCATAAGAAATAAAGCAGCAGCTGGAAAGAATCATGTGATAAAAAAAAAGAAGAAATATAGCCACAACAGTCTGTATTCAGAACTTTTGACAAGTAGGCCTGATATTCTGTAGGATATTGAAATACCAAGCTCTGAGAAGTAAGCAGTACTTGTCTATACTAGTCAAATGGGTCATGGTTAGGTCAGCTGTGTGCTTGAACTTCGCTTGACCTTTCAGCGCAGATACATTACACTTTGCCTTGGCTGAGGCACTCATGACTCCCACTCAACACAAAAGGAAGAAAGTTGAAAGGTCAGGATGAGCGCAAATCCAATCTAGCTGCTGCCCATTTTCTCTATTTTAGACAAATCTTGTAGGGACAAGGGTTTAGCTTTGGGAACACTCGTATTTTTAAATTAGTAAAAGTGCTGTCACTCATCATGTCTCAATTTAGCAGCAACGGCCTGTAGCCAATGGCGCAGACTTGCTAAACATCTCATGCTATTTGCATAGGTTAAAAACTGCTCAAGATGCTCACATCTGAGTGGCTTATTCTGAGCTGCTCAAAAATAGCCAGAGAGGGTTTGGAGTCATTGATGAGTCAGTCACCTGATATTTACAAATAGAGGGGACGAACATGAAAACAGGGGCATTGGTCAACATGGCAGGACCTGACACAGAAGCCACTCAGAGGCTAAGGTAACAGGACCGCATGAGTAAGGACACAGCCATGGACTTCCATGAGACTGTGTGGCGCTTAGGGTCAGAATACATGGATTTGATTGGACCAACAAATGTTGTAGGTGGTTTCCATTCTGGCCTGCCAGACCTAGGGTAGATTTCATTAAAGTTTATCAAATGAAGCATAAAGGTCTTTGAAGTCACACATCATGTTAGCTACTGAAGGCAAACTACAAAAAGATCCATCAATGTATGGATCCAGGAACTGGTCAAGAGTTATAGTGTCTTTAATCTCAAGGCCCTTCAAATCCCCTTGGCTGGTTCCCCACTGTCCTGACCTAACTGATATTTGGTATCCTTTTTGCGTGTGTCCAATCCACCTCTTATCATTCAGGTCAAGGGGGATTGGGCTTTCTTCACTTCCTATCTAAAGGGCCCTGACGTTTGTGTTTTCCTCCTGTTGTACCTGTTCTGTGGCTAAGTTTCACTTCCAGGGTGACCCTGTACTCTTCTTTAAAAAAAGCCCTAACGAAGGGCTGTCCCACAGCATTCATCAAACCCGAAAATCCTGCGGCCTCTAGTACCGTCTAAATATGACGGTCGGGAACGCCGAACGGCAACCTTTTTCCGCCCCCTCTCGGGCCCCCATGCCGCCCCCTTTTGCGATTCAACCGGCAAACTCTTTGTCTCTTTAAAGAGACCTGAGGTCAAACCTTGAGGTTTACCGGCTAAGAAAAGAGACCTTGAACCGTGCAAGTGGCTGGGGTTTACACCGTTGGATGTGGCGAAAACTAGACATTATGGACCTAGTTCTCCCCTCATTTAATCTGTTTTATGCCAATGTAATTCCATGGATTTCTGTGCGGTTATTTACACCTGTGTATGTGTGTGTGTGTGGTGTGGTGTGGTGTGGTGTGGTGTGGGGAGGGAGGTGGGGAAGAGAGAGGGAAGAAAGATAGTCATTTGTTTCCCTTTTGCTACATGGCTACAATGGCAAGCCAGGCGTATTTTGTCAAGACAGACTAAACGGATCAGTTCTAGAAGCTAGAAACCTCATTCAGCGGCAAAATTATAAGTCCTTAAAAAAAATCAGAGCTGACACTATATGACCTGCCACTTTACTGGATAGAAGAAGCCAGTCATTGGCCCCGGTTCACGTCCACCTGTGCATCCACCCCCTAGCCCATAAAATCCTTTTCCTGGTCTGTAACACAGCAAACAACAAGTCTACCTCATGCCTACTTAGCACCCATATCAGAGGTGCCAGACTGAATCAGGGATTCACATGCCTAGCCCTTGATGCTCACTCATCCCTGCTCTCACAGCTGGGATGTTCTGAGGGCACAAGCTATTTTTGCTTCCTTTTTCTTTTCTTCCATGTATTGAATCCAAAATGCACGACGGTGAAATCTCCATTCCAGAGCAGACCTAGACGCTATGTTCTTCCGCAGCTACAGCGGCCTAACCATGCACCTACGCTGTCACAGCACTTAGCGGGACTGTTCTGTATTCTGGAAGAAGAACAAAGCATGAAGAGGGGAGGGCTCTTGTTGATTTCTAAGCTGTTTTTTACTTTGTCCCAACATGCAATCGGATTTAATAGGCATGATCTCATCAATCCTCAACTGATCCCCTGAATTAAGCCAGATATTCTCTAGGTACTCCTGCTTATTTTTAATTTATTCAGATGAATAAAACCTAAAGGATTCATGGGAGTTTGCTTCAACAGGAGAAAGACCAATGATCCCCTCCATCTCTATGGACAGAAAGGGGTACAAGCACATGGACTGTGGGGCAAGCAGCAGCAACATCTCCACTGCATGCTGCCCCCAAGAACCTTTGGCAGCCTATTCACACCAACCAAGCATAGTCATCCTGGAAAGACGGGCTGGGGAATAACCACTCTCTGAGGCAGGCTGCCACCAGAAGCCAGTGGCTATCCAGGCGGATACCCATGTGGAAGTTAATGTGCCATGGTTGTATCACCCATAAAGGAAGAGGAGCCAATGGTAGTACAGTGTCTATGGACGTCATGGCACCCTGGGGGAAGGGCAAGCCAGGCAGCATTCCTGAATGGTCAGCACACTGTGGTGCAGGATCTTTCATTCCAGGTGCCTGGGATTTGGAGGCTGCGTTCCCTGCCTCCTTCACAAC